TTAGATGATGTGCAATCATCTATATGATCTCCATTTGATCCGTCTTCACTTTGAAACGATGAAGAAACATGGTAGCCTTCATCATTTTTGCCATCCTCATCTTTATCTCTTTGCATATTTGGTGAACATTGAAATTGTTGTTCATTATTTGTGCAAAGTGCCATATTTTGTAACAAAATTGAAGATCTCCCTTCAACAACAATTTTGATGTATAATTCCATTATTAACATAATTGTTTGGCTCTGAAATGCATCTATCATGCACTGAACATCATTATCATCATCACCCAATTCCAATGCTTCATATATATTTCAAGGTAAAAAATGATATTATGCAGATAATATGACTTGATCATCTCTAAGACAAAATTTATTGCAAGTCCTTTTTGTTTTTTTTAATATCCTAATATATATATGAGGGGGATTATAGTTACACCGGTGTAACTTTTACCAAGTATTACACCGCTTAATAACTTTATATTAAATGTGAATTTTGTAAATCCAACCGTTGGATTGAAAGTGCATATCACTTTATATGTGTATATCAAATTTTGTTAAAATTGAATAACAACTTGAAGGTAATCAAAGTGTTCATATTTTAGTATATTTTGAAATGAATATATTACATCAATTTTGTTTTATAAGAATAAAGTATCAAATCATCTTGGATTAATATAAAATTTTGTATATATGATCTAAGTGTAAAGAACTTTCAATTTAACGGTTAGATTTACAAAAATTCAAATTTAATATAAAGTTATTGAGCGGTATAATACTTAATAAAAGTTACACTGGTGTTATTATAACATTCCTCTATATATATTGTGTTTAATATACATTTATTTTTTTTACCATTAAATATAACAACTTCAAGAGTTTAAATTTTTTTAATGTAAATAAAAACCATAATTTAATCTGTGATATGCTAGTAATGTATCTGTAACATAAAAACAACAACAAACAAAATTAATTTTAATATATATATATATATATATATATCATACCCTTACTACTCAATCATATATAGCATACACAAGATTCTTACAATATTGTGAATGAGCGCTATATAAAAAAGGAGGAGATCATCACTTAAAAAAATAAAAAAAAATAAAAATAGAGTCCCCTTATTAGAGACGGTTGGACTCTAAAAAAAATTAAATAAAACTAGTCTCCTTTTGAGGGACAATGACACCATTTAATAAATAGAAGAAAAAAAATAATCCCCTACTTGAGAACAACAACACTTATTATTATTATTTTTTACATAAATAATCTTCTTACTATCGATAGTGAAACTCTAAAAAAATTTAAATAAAACTAGTTCCAACGACACAATTTAATGATAAAAAAATAAGTTCTCTCACTTAGGGGCAATGACATTTAATTTTTTTTTTTATATATACATATATAAACAATTCCCGCACACCGACAACGAGACTCTAAAAGGACAAAAAATTGAATAAAACTAGTCCCAATTGAGAGATAATAACACTAACAAATAAATAAATAAACTAGTCCCCCATTGGGAGACAACAATATCATTTAATTAAATAAAATAAAAATAGGCATCCAACTGGTAACGTCACTTGCACAAAATTTAAGAAAGAGAAGTGACGTTAGAGTTAGATGCACCAATGTTAATCTCGCACTCAACTCTAAAATCATTAATATGGCACCACATGTTACTCCCAAACCATTTTTGTTTTTTTAAAAAATAATTACGTGACATGTGTATTGTTGAATTGACCAACGATATCTATGACTAACTACTCCAAAATAATGAAATGTTTCAAAAGAGTTTCATTCCTATAATATGTTTTCATAATGACCTTAGTTGGATCCAAAAACTTGAAAATTAATTAACTTAAGTATATCCTTCAAAAATGTTTATAATTTTTTTTTTAATTTTCTTCTTTTAAAAATGTTTGAATAAAACAAAAAATGTATGGAAAAATAAATAACAAACAGTAGTTATCTACTCCATCTTGAAGAGGCATTTGATGAACAAAATTTTTCACTTTTTCAAAAGTTTGAAGTTAGAAATGTTAATTTTTAATATTTAATTTATTATTTAAAAAATAACATTCTAAAAATAATTTTATGAAGTCATTCAAATTTCTCATCTTGAAGGTAAATTTCTTATCAAAAGTAACTAATTGATGTATATCCAAACACAAACACATGCTAAGTGATATTAATTAACAATCTAATATCATTACTATATAATTGTACAACTTGAATAATTGAGACATTAAGGCATGAAACTTCCGTAGCATCTGGAAAAGGAAAGGTGAGAAAGCAAACATTGTTACTTCCATTCCAACCTTGTGAGATGGGCAGTCTGCCTTTGATCTTCACTTTGAATGAGACAGTGACATGGGAATTCCTGGGGCATTCTACATCGAGAATTTCATGCAAGTTGAATTCTTCCTTGTCAATTTGACTCTTGAAGACGTTCCTAACCAAGGAACCATCCACTTTGATTGTAACTCATGCTAAAAAGTACAAAATCACTCCCATTATTTTCCTTGGTCACTTGAAGTCATCAGATTTCTTTGTCTATATACTCAAATTTGTCGCTCAAAATGTGATACCTCAGTTATAATCTGCACTTACAATTCAGCATGTCTGCCTGAACTCTATGAAGGAGGAATTAAGTTGCCTACTGATGCACTTAGCAAGCTTAATTAGCACTATATCATTGTTCAAGGAACTCATCAGAACTGATGGGAAACAAACTCTTAAGTTTCCACCACCAAAAGTAATTCAAGGTACATTTACAAAATACAAAAATACTCTTCTGAAATAATTGTATTTCATAACATTACTTCTAAGAATTCTAATTTTACTTTATTGTAATATCAATTTGTTTTGGTATGGTTGAAATGAATCACAAAGACTAAAGTAATTTCAGTTGCATAGGCTATGGAAAACCACAAATTGTTTATACTAGACCACCATGACACAATCTTTTCATATTTGAGGCGAATAAAAGAAACTGAGACAAAGGCCTATGGTACTAGAACAATCATTTTGTTGCAAGATAATGGAAGTTTAAAGCTATTGGCTATTGAGCTAAGTAGGCCACATCCTGGGGGTGATAATTTTGGTCCTGTTAGTGATGTCTACCTTCCTGCAGAAGGTGACTACTATGCGGTTGTAAATGACTCCTGCCATCACCAACTTGTCAGCTATTGATATAAATTCTGCTAATGACACTTTTAATTATATCAAGCATATACAGTTTTTAAAATTATGAATTATATATTAGTATTTTTGCAACATGAGTGCAAGTTATTACGTCTTTCAGGTAAATTTATTCACTGTTAAGGATGTTATCATGTGTATGATTTTTCTCACTTCCCTAAAAACCCTAAACATTGAAATGATTCATCGGACTGTCTCCCCCATTCATTGATACTTTCAGCACTCTAATATCAAGATTTGGAACCCAATGTCTGCCTGGTGATCACAAGATCTCTGTTGTCTCTATTAATACTATTTTTTTTCTTCTAAATTATAAGTGATATATGATTCAAGAAAAATAATTAATATGGTTATTAAATTTATTATAAATTTTTTTTATTACCTTTGATTAGTTTTAAAAATAAATGATTTTTGTTTATAAATAATTAAAAAATTCAAATTTATTATTTATAATTAAGATCAAAATTCTTATCAAACAAGTTATGATTGATAAGATCACTCTTCACCGAGATTTTAATTTTATCAAATAATTTTTTCTTTTATCTGAGCTAATTTAATTTTATTTGATACAGTTATAAGTAAAAAAGTTATCCTGTTTTAATTATGATACATAAAAGAGTTGGCTATATAATTTATTAAATCCTTATTACACTATTTTAATTATTTTAATCTTATTATTTGTATCAATGTTATATGAACATTTGTTTTTTGTTTTAATTATTTTCTCGTGTCATGTAACTCTTATCTATCCCTACTACAAAATTGAAATTGGAAGTGTAAAATAGAGAGGGGAAATGAGACGGGAGAAAATTGAAATTCGAAGTGTAAAATAGAGAGGGGCAAATAAAACCAGGGAGGAGATAAAGTATTGATAGAGATTAAAATAAAATTATAAAATGCTCGCCTATGAATTAAACGGATGATTTTTACATGTAAAGACTAAAATATAAAAATTGTAAAATATAAAAATCAGAATGTAAAATTAGTGTAAATATTAATTGATACTAAAATATAAATCATAAACACACGTTGGTTCTTTTTTAATGACGGAGACAGAAAAGAACTAAAATAGATGACTTTTAATTCTAAGATTAAAATTAAAGGCCAAATGAATAATTAAAAGTTTATTTTTTTTATAGATTTTTTTTTTGTCATTAACAGATTATATATATATATATATGAATAAATAGATAGATAAATAAATATATTTGTGATTTTATGATATGAATGAGATCATATTATAAAATTTAATATTTAAAGAAAAAAATTTCTAATAAAAAATTAAAATACCAATAAAGATATATTTGTAAAAGAGTAGATAATGATATTAGCAGAAATGTAAATTATTATTATAAATGAGTTTATCATAAATTATTATTATTATAAAATACCAATAAGGATTTGTTGTTATCATAAAAATAAATGAGTTTATTATGTATAGGATATGTTATTTTCCTTAAAAAAGTGTTTTTTTTAAATAAAATAAATAAAAGTATATTTTTACTTTTTAAATATATTTGTCTAAATAATTTTTTTTTAAATAATCTTATGATCTTTTGAAGATACAAATCTTATTTATTTTTAAACAAACTGAACCAGGATAGTAGTGGAAAATTGTGCATAGCCTATATTTTTTTATGTTCATTGTGTAAACAATTTTATATTATTAATTTATAATAAATTATTAATAATATTATTTTTGAAATTATTATTATAAAAGTCATCTAATCTAATTAAATGGAAGCACAAGTAATCTTAACCAATGGGCAATTGATATGATAATACAATAAATCATAATTTATTAAAACGTATATATAGAAGGGAATGATTAAACTGAGTGAGAACAGTGAGTGTCTCTGAAACTGAAAATCAAGAAGCAGAATCGAATGTAAATGGGAAATCAGAAGCAGAAGTGGACGCAAGATGAAGAAGACGCGCTTATCGCAGGAGTGGAAAAGCATGGCCCTGGAAAGTGGAAGAACATTCTCAAAGATCCCCAATTCGCCCCTTTCCTCACTTCTCGATCCAACATCGACCTCAAGGTACCCAATCACCAACTTCTTCTTTCTTTCTTAGATTAGGGTTAGGGTTAGGGTTTGAGTTAGGGTTTTTCTAAAAAAAAATTATATCTTCAGGATAAATGGCGAAATTTGAGTGTCAGTAACGGTTCTCAAGGCTCCAAAGATAAATCTAGGGTTCCCAAGCTCAAAGCACTTCCTGCTCCTTCTACAACCGCCACCACCACTCTTCAAACTGCTGCTCCTGCTCCTCTAAACGCAGCGTCTGATGCTGCTGTCCCTGATCCTTCTCAAAATGAGCAGGATACCAAAAATTCTCCAAGGTATGAAAATGCTGTCTATTTTTCCTTTGTCAATTTACTCTGATCAACAGAATTTTGATGCTGTATTTGCAATGTTGTTGTTACTGTTGTTCACATTCATTAGCCCAAATAAAATTAAAAAAAAAAAAAAAAGAGAGAGAGAGAGAAGAAATTGTAGTTCTTTTGACAGCCCGTGCTTTAGCTCATAGGTTGATAATTACTAGTTGTTGATTCTTTTCACTTTGTGGACGATGATCACAGATTTGTATATTTCATGTGATATTTTTGTTTAGTGAAATCTCAAAGTTTCATTGAAAACAAGACAGAGGATTTAAATAATACAGAATGAAGTTTTTGACGGTGTCTTTCACCCTATAGAATCTAGGTAAAACTTCACGTGAGAGATTTCAGATGATGACAACTGTGTGCGTGAGGTGTGATGTAAGATATAAAAGTTTCGAAGATTTTATGAGGTTTAATGAAACTTTTGGCTCTTGCAGATTGATCCAAATACCGTTATTGATTGTGTCAAAAGTTTTGGAGTTCTGTTCATCATAAATGAAGATAACTAATTTAGAGTTTTTTTGGATTTCCCTTTCTTCTAGATAGAAGTATATCTTGTTTAAACGGAAGAGTAAAATGTATAATGACATTTAATGATACAAGGTTATTCAATCCCTGTTATTCACATATGGATTTTATTTTTTGATACTGTAAAAGGTGATGCTGCAGAACTATTTATTAGTTATGGTTTACATTTCAGCATTTTTAGTTGGCAGCCATTAGTTATTTTGTATTAATTTGATGCAGCATTTTAATGTGACAAACTATTTGTTTTATCAATTAAGATCATATTATGAGAGGTTGCCGGTACTTGTTTTACCAGGTATATTCCAATGATTTTTGAAGCTCTGTCAGCATTAAAAGATAGTAATGGATCCGATCTAAATGCTATTGTTAGTTTCATTGAGGTCAGATGAAGATCTTTATTCCATTATGTTTCAATAATATTTGTCAATGATATTATTATGTATTTTGTAAAGTGGTTACAATACTTGTTTATGAGATTATATAACAAGGATTTAATATATAAAATCTAGAATGAAAATATATTTTTTTTTTTTTTTGTATTTTTTCTTTACATTGGGTATTTAATATCAGTTCTTCGACTCCAAGTCTCTCTTAGTATTTTTTTCTTGGAGATAATAATTTTTCCATTATGGTCTTTTAGAAGTAATATGTTGAAGCCTTGTACCATTTATTGATTTGTGGGGTAGAATGGGGAATTGGAAATTAATTTAATATGGAGTGTCTATTGCGCATATTGTTCTTAATATCAAATATTTTCTATTATTTTTATTTTATTTTATAATTTTAGAAGTGACACCTACCACATGTAATACTGCAGCAAAAACATCAAGTTCCTCAAAATTTTAGAAGGGCATTAAGTACAAGGTTGAGGAGGCTTGTTGATCAAGGAAAACTTGAAAAGGTAATTTAGTCCTCTATATCTTGATTTTACATATGTATTTTTATATTATAATTGAGGGTGAGCTTTGGCTCAATGATGAGGTTCTTGCCTTGTGACCTTAAGGTTAATGTTTCAAATCTTGGAAACAACCTTGTTCAAACTTGTTAGTATATCATTGCTCTTTATTGCGTACCTGTATTCAAGAATCCAACCGGAAATCCTGAAAAGATTGGAATGATATGACTAACATTTTTTGGTTTGAGTGGGAGATAAGTGAACATGTTACTTGGTTGATTAGGAGACTTATAGGTCCAAGTAAGAGGGTGGTTTATTTTTTGGCAATCTGGTGTCAAAACTCAACCATGGCTTTGTCAATTGACCATGGTGTTTTCCAATTTCCACTACAAGTTTACCACCATGTGTCCATGTTTTTGTGTGTAAGGCTGTAAGCATCATTTTCCACTAGAATGGGTTGCACATCAACCCAGAAATCCATTCTATTCAATTCTGTTTGAAATTCTTGTTTTATGCGTATTCTTTCCAAACAATTTCTTTGAAATAGGATAGGGGTCCTGTCACATGTTTCTGTAAGGATCTTGGGCGATATTCTTAGTGGCTATGCATTGCTCTCTTATTTTTTATCACTGTTTAACACATTTAACACATCTGACATGATAGGTGTTGAATATGTCCTGTTATGTATTAACAAACAATTAGTAATGTAAATATATCTTTGTACATTTATCCTTTTATATGCATATCGTACCCATGTTGTACTATGTTTATGGGCTTCCATTTTTGGGACTCTTGCTGTTCCTTTGCTTCCCATGGGCTTTACCCCAACCTTCTTTCCTAGACTTTGCACACCTGGCATATGAGCAGAAATTTCACATTTAAGTTGAATGATCTTGAAGCTTGTTTTCATTCTCTACTCTTTGATCTACAGGTACATAATTGTTACAAGATAAAAAAGGACTCCTCCGTGGGGACAAAATCACCTGCACCAAAGCCAAAGGATGTCCGGCCACCACCACAACGGCAGTCCCCAGCTTCTGTCTTAATGGCATCTAATGAGTCGATAAAGGAAGCTGCGGATACTGCAGCCTACAGAGTTGCTGATGCTGAAAGTAAATCATATCTGGCGGCGGAAGCAGTGAAGGAGGCAGAAAAAATATCATTGCTGGTTGAAGATTGTGATTCCATGTTACAGCTAGCAAAAGATATATATGAACAATGTACTAAAGATAAAGGATCCTTCCTGCCTCTTGTTTGTGAATTTTTCAATCCTACTGATTATTTATAATGACCATTGATTTTGTGGGTCTATTCATGCAGGTTCGCGTGGTCAAATCATCCTCTTGGTTTAAGATGGTCAACGTAAGATTTATAAATAGATTCGTCCAGATGTTGGTCTCTAAATGTAAAATTTTGTTTATCCGATGAAATACTATTTTAACATTTTTTCGGTGTATTTTATCAGATCCCTTGACATTTTTATTTCTTAAATCTGCATGGAGAGTCATGTTAATAGGCCGTACATATCTTCTCTATTCTCTCTAGTAATAGTACTAGTCCTCCGAATCTGTCCAGATTTTGGATCCATGGTGGCAGCAATAGAAGTTCATTTGTGTTTTTCTGGCAATGTGATATAAACCATTCATGTTTCTTCACTCAAGTCTACAATATGATCCTATAAAAGTGAAATTTCATCCTAAGATAAGTAAAGGTGATGTTATAGGTGAAATATAGAATCATCAATGTGTTTCTTATATCTTGATTGGATGTGACTATCGATATTTTCAATTTAATGTTCATATTATGTTTGTAGTTTTAAATATTAAAATTGAAGATCAGTTTTTATCGTATAATTGAGAATATAATTGAGGCAAGTGCTAAATGAAATACTCAACCTAATTATATCGGCTTCATAAAATACCATTTTATATCAAGCTTTACCATCCTTTTTATTTATATAAAATAGAATGATTATCTTAGATGAAAGTGTTTTTGAAGAATATTATTTAACAAGAATGTCTTAAAGAGTTTTCCTTAAACAAGTGTTTTTAACAAAATTTTTTTTATTAATTTCATATCCTTTTAATTTATTATTTTCTTTATTTTTAAATTAAATTTTAATATTTATTTAAAATTATTAATAATTAAAAATAATTTTGTACTACAATACATTTTATTTTATCATAAGTCTCAAATATTATTATTATGAACAGAATATTCATTTATTATGAATTTTAGTTATAGTTTGTATAAGTATTTATACATTTATGAGTTCTATTCGATGGCGTTTGAGTTCTTAAACAAGTGCTTTTCACTAAAATTCTTGATTCGATACATCTTTTAATTTATTCTTTTCACCTTTATTTTTAATTTAAATTTTAATATTATTCATAAAAAATAATTTTATACTAAAATATGATTTATTTTATTACAAGTCTATAATATAATTTATATGAACAAAAATATTCATGTATTAGGAATTTTAATTATAATATAGTTTGCATTCACAAGTATTTATTTATACATTAATTTATAGTAATTGAAGATAACAAAAACAAACAGAGAAACTACAGACAGGAAATAAGTACCTACAGCATCCGCATGTAGTGCCAGGCAAACATTAGGAGCTTCCAAAAGATCTGCAAATATTTCTGTTGAGCGGATCCCATTTTTAAGAAGATATCAGCGCAAACGTTAGGATAGTTTGATAAATTAATTAGTTCAATTTTAATGTTCATATAATTACTAATCATTAACAAGAAGAGAGTTGTGATAATTTTATATGTGGAAACGTACAAATACTAATATATATATATATATATATATAATGAGGAAAGAGGAATGCTACAACTTTGGCAAACCGTATGGGTGACATGCTCAAATTTCTTGCTGGGTCCAAGATAGAAAAGAATGCACTGAGAAGGAAGGACGCTTTCAGAGAATGCATGCGGCGGAAGATTTGCAATGACACTGTTCAAATGCATGTTCTGATGAACATCTTAATTTTGACAATAAGGCTAAAATGCAGTATTCAAGTCCAGAAACACAATCACATGCTTTGCAGAAAATAATGTTTTAGAATTCAGAAACATTTAAAACTAACAAGACATGACCATCGTCAGCATCAATAAAATATCAAACAGAAATTGGCAATCCTCAAGTTCTTTTAAGTTTATCATCATAAACACCCCAGAATTGCCTCCCAAGGACTTCTGAAAACTTGTTTGCTCCAAAAAGGTAAAGCAAAATTTAGGGTCTAATCATGGATCACCGCATGATTTGCAACCATACAATGTCTACAGAAAAATCATTATGAATCTCAGTTCATCCATATGATGACAAATTTCCAAACTTAAGATTACAGAAGCACAAGCCCCAGCTCTGACGGCTTCAATGCATGCCTTATTCGGTAGTTGTAAAGATAATAATGAAGTTTCCCATCACCCGGTCCAAACTTGAGTTCCCTCAAGAAGGTTTCATTCTGCATGACATCCAATGCATTGAAAACATCATAATCCTTCTGTTTTGCGACAATGAGAGCATCATTCATCAGCTGAAGCAAAGGAGTGACTGTGGACACGTTATAAAATGAATAGGCTGCTTTCAAAGTTGAATAATTTTGGTGGCCAAGGATACTAGAAGGAAGTGTGTAAAAACTACAAAAGTCGGTGACCACGTGAGTTTCAGGACTTTCAACCAGATAACTATCAATAACGTTCTCCCTTGGCAGAAGCCAATGCTCCACATCATTTTCATCAAAATCAGGTGCAACAACAAAATGGCTCAAATAATTCCTAATTAGCCTTGTAACTGCAGGAACATCATGAATTTCCATCTTTCTAAACCCTGGGGTGACTGTTGATTCTGGTAGCTTGTAAAGCTTGATGGTTCGACTCATTGTCATTCGTGCACCAAGCCGAGAGAAACCAACATCAATTAGCTTCTTGGGATTCAAAGATCTGTGCCAGTATTGACAAGTTGCTATTGGTGTAGGAAGAATTACTCCAGCAGTGTAGGCTGCCTGCCACATATTTTCCAGGTGAACCCTCCTGGTCACCTCTTTGATCATGACAGGAGCAAGCCTCTTTGTTCGAAGTTTCTTATGGACACATAGAAAATTGATCTCTGCCATATGAACAACCTCGTCACGAACTCGGATTCTAGCAGGAATACCTGTTATAAAGGCAACCAACTTCTTCGAACTTTTAACACGGACACCAATATGCCAACTCCTGAAATAACCAGGAGGTTGCAGAGCCCAGCGCAGAAATTCTTTCGAGTAGTTAAATCGAAACATGTTCTCATCATCCTCAACATAATTATGAGCAAGGAGGTTGTATACCTCATCACACATCACCTCAGAGTTGATGTCACAAGTAATCCATTCATAGGGGTCAGGAAGGTTGTATGGTTCTTGTTTGACCTCAGATAAAGGAGTTGGAAGTTCAATAGGGCCTTCTGGCAAACTCGAGTCCCCTATATCCTTGAATTGCCCAACAGGTTGGGTTTCCCAAAATTTATGTCTTTTTTCCAAAGAGAGAGATTCTTGAACTTTTTGTGCTAAATTATCTAATGCAAGATCACTTTCAGCAGGTGCATTCCCATCTGGGTTGGGATTTTGTGTTTCTTCAGGTGAACCAGAGGAAGGATTGCTATCAACCATTTGAAATCCTTTCAAACGAGCAGTCTGAAAGAAGAAATAAAGATTTTTCGGTAAACAAATTTAGTAGAAGAAAGCAAAATTTTCTCTTAATACCCACAGAATTTTGTGGCCAACTATTGACTACTTCTATTCACATCAATGAGAAGAAACCCATCTTATACGTTATCTCATGTAAAACCAAAAATATTCATAGTTATACTAGCCACTTGATCTTTATGATACAATTACAAGCCAAGATTCATTACAGGCCAAAATAAAAGAAATAAAAATATCTATGGGCTATCTCACATTCTTATTTCGAATGGACTAAACATGTAACTTAGTTCTTATAGAAACTTTGGTTATTGCTGTAAGCCTGTAATTACTTTTTAAAATGTGAGATACATTTTGTAACTTTTTCGGCAGAACAAATTGCAAATCTATGAAATGCATATTTGATGGGATTGGAGTTGCACTAATTGATAATGATAGGTATTGAATTCCATATAACTGGTTAATAATTTTTTCTGCAAATAATGATCAACATGGGCTATTATGAATTTACTTTGCACAGCAGAAGATACTTTGAAGCAATGCTTACATGTTTTAGAGTGAGCTATTCTAGTTGGAGAACTACTACTGCAGTGGAACCAATACAGAATTAGCTTCAGCCTTTGGTATTCAGAGGTTAAAATAGTGAACTTGATTTTCAGCAAGTGAAATCCCACACAGATGACAAACAGAAGAATGAATGATAACAGGATGCAAAAATAAAAAATAAAAAGTAAAATTTCCTATAATCATTATTAAAAGAATTATTAATTCCAACATTCACCAGTCAACACTAAACAACAAGATCCATTATAATACAAAGAAAGGTGAAGGCTAAACCCATTAGGGGAAACATAGATCAGAAGGTGCATTTCCATCTGGGTTAGGAATTTTGGGTTTCTTCAGGTGATCTAGAGGAAATAATAGCTTTGAAGTATGAACCATCTGAAACATTTTTAGAAGGGTAGTCTGAATGACACGATGACGATGTTCGAACAAATAGATTTGATAGAAGAAAGAAAAGTTCTCCTTAGCACTGGGAGGCTGCAAAATATTTGGAAGAGATATTCATCTACTTTTCTACGGCGCAAAACACCAAGTGAATTTACCTGACTAAGCTATAGTTAGGGTCTGTTGGGATAAGCTTCTTCGTAATTTAAAGTTGACTTATGCACTTAACCTTATAGAAACTATCATTTAACTTCTCCAATTACTGAAATGTATAAGTTGATTTTAAGCTCATGGAAAAAGAGTCAAATTCATTATCCCTTCTTATTTTACCTCTCCTATAAGCACTTCCAGATAAGATTCTCCAACAATTTGTAATACACAACTCTAAATTTCTATGATTCAATAACCCAACCTCATTCACTTCTATGGGGGCATAAAACAAGAGAGCGTGTTAAGAAAAATAAAGTTTGAGTATGTATGCACATCTGATATCGAAGCAACTTTGAACAGTAATAATCGTGTGCATCTGATATCTAAGCAAGTTTCAAAAAGAGAAAGGCACAGATCCAATAGTAGCAATTAAGTGCATCTGATATGTAAGCAAATTTCGAACAAAAAGGGTTTTGAGTAGAGTAGTTATCAGTGATTTTACCTGCGAAGAAGAAGAAGAAGATGATGATGATGATGATGAAGAACGCAAATGGAATGGAATCGATGAAACTAAGGGCGATTTCGTGAGAACCGATTTCTCACAAACAAAGGGGTAAGGGGTTTGTACGGTGGGCCACTCATAATGCTGTCGAACGGGTTCGGCCCATTATCACCTCCCTTGACGGGCCTATGTCGAAACTAATGAAAGGCCCAATCTGTAAGCTTCGTCATATTCGGAGATTATTAATTATTATTATTATTATTATTAAATACAACTTACAATTGAGAGTTTTAAGAGTTACTGTAGTTTACTGTTCATGTTTTTCTTTTTTCTTTTTCTTTGATTTAGAATTTTTTGGA